GAGAAACATCAATGATGAGTGAGAATCATTGATCAATCATTGGTCCCCTACTGGGGACCGAGCCCACAACCCAGGCATGTGCCCAGGACCCTTCAGTCTGCAGGCCAATGCTCTATCCACTGAGCCAAACCAGCTAGGGCAGGAACTATCTTTTGATTAATTAAAGAACTATCATAAGAATCAATGTTATTTTTATGATTTTTCTTTTTGAGTGATACACACAAGTTTTCAATCAATATATTTCAATTTAATAGACAAAGATATTCTCAGTCAAATGGCTGAGAAATTATAAATTGAGAGTCAAATTCAAAAGCAGATGGTTCCCTTTATATAATGATAAGTATTATAACAGTCAAGGAAGAAAATAATCTTTAAAAATGTTCTAACACCACTTTGCTTACTAAGCAGTAGTGGTTGTGAGTATGGATTGGTATAAAATTCTCACAATATGTCTCACCTGCACCAAGTTGATAAAGTCAACATGAACAGCGTAGTTGAGTTCTGGCAACTGGTCATTACTTCCAACCTTTTTCACTCTGCAGTTTTGTGAACTGAGGGAGAGGATGGGATGCGTGTAGGCCACCTCAGCTCAGGAAAATTACTAGTAGTTATGTCCCTTCAGCTTTCATATTTTTCTAGTCACATAGCCACTTGGCACCTATTTTGTAGCAATATTTTTAAAATTACTGGTTACTCAACAATTAAAGCTTAATTATTAATTAGATACTAATAAATTATTGACAGTAAACAATAGGTCATTTGTTTGATAAGAAGCAATATTATCAAGATTCTCATTTATCTTTAACTCAGGATACATTCCATGACTTAGCCAAAGGTCAAATTCTCAGGTACTACTGAGGAAGAGAGGGAAGACTACAGACCCCTGTTAAACATTTCTTTCTACTAGTCATTTTTAAACATATGGGTTGCAAAGAGGGACAGGTGGTTAGTGATTGGAAATATTCTCTCTAATACAGGCTGTTTTCACTTAATATAGTTCCAGGATACATGGATTCAGTAACTACAGTTAATTAAATAACATGAGTCCCTAACAACACAGTTCAAATTTCTGTTACCATGACACATGAACTGTGAGTGACTGCATAAAATACAAACCCTGCTCTTAGCTCTTCAGTCCACAGTCACTACATAAATAACAGAAACCCACTGTGATACATGACCAAATCACATTGCTTCTTCCAATGCCTATTGGTGATTGGTCACATCTGCTAGTCAGTTCATATAGACAGCAAAGCTCATGGTTATTTAACACCCATGTGATATTTTACAAAAATGTATAATTGAATTAGGAAATTGGCCCTAAATGATGCAAGTGTAGCAAAGAAAGTGAAAAATGCTGGAAGTAAAATTTGATTCAAACATAAATTTATTTATGGATGAAGTAGCTGACTGTGGGAATATTGACATCACTATAGTTCAAGAGACTCTAGATGTGCAGCCAGAGGAACTTATTGAAGCTGAAAGGATCGACATGCACATAAAAGCGGTTGTGATGAATATGGTGAAGATGCCCCAGAGGAAGTGGTCCCCAAAAACACCTCACTTTAAAAGAACAGAGACATATGATGACATTAAAAGTACAAAGGGTAGCCGAAACCGGTTTGGCTCAGTGGATAGAGCGTCGGCCTGCGGACTGAAGGGTCCCAGGTTCGATTCTGGTCAAGGGCATGTACCTGGGTTGCGGGCATATCCCCAGTGGGAGATGTGCGGGAGGCAGCTGATCGATGTTTCTCTCTCATCGATGTTTCTAACTCTCTATCTCTCTCCCTTTCTCTCTGTAAAAAATCAATAAAATATATTTAAAAAAAAAAAGTACAAAGGGTAACAATTTAGAAATTGATCCAAATTTACTAATTTACAACTAAGGTTTAGGAAAGGTGTTGCTCTATATAGGAAGTTATACAATGAGAATAAGAATACATGCAGTGTTTAAACTACTTGTTAAATTTTTTACAAATAAATAAAACATTTATTCTCAATATATTGAATTATAATATACTAAGTAAATATTAGTTTTACTAATTTTATTCCTCTGCATTTATAAATGACTAAGAGCTTTTAGTGTTTTAACAAAAAATGGTAAAGGTCATGGAACAATGCTAATTTTTACCACTGATTAATTGATTAATTGTAATTTTTATCATTGATTTTTAAGATCACATTCCACAACTTCAATTCAGCTTGTACATAGTCATTTTATGATCTCATAATACTATTCAAAGTGAGCATTGCCTGAAACACACACACACACACACACATACAGACACACACACACACATACAGACACACACACACATACAGACACACACAGACACACACATACAGACACACAGACACACACAGAGACACACACAGAGACACACAGAAACACACACAGAGACACACACATACAGACACACAGACACACACAGAGACACAAAGAGACACACACAGACACACACACATACAGGCACACACACATACAGACACACAGACACACACAGAGACACACACAGACACACACACACAGACACACAGACACATACAGACACACAGACACACACACAGACACACACACAGAGACACACACACAGACACACACACAGAGACACACACACAGAGACACACACAGACACACACAGACGCACGCAGACACACACACATACAGACACACACAGAGACAAACACAGAGACAGACACACACATACGGACACACACACAGAGACACACACACAGACACACAACATCGTGTGTGTGTGTGTGTGTGTGTGTGTGTGTGTGTGTCCCAAGAAAATGTATACACACACTTTGAATAATTTTAAAGGCAGTGTTTATTAAAATATATTTCATTTTCACAATTAAGCTATCAGCTGTTAAATGTGTATACATTTTTTGGGACACCCTGTATGTATGCATGTGTGTATATGTATGTATTTGTATATATATAAAATACTATCCTATATTCTGTAACATATTTAACATCTGTACAATTTCATTTATATGATTTTATGATCCAAGAAAATCTGAATCCAGAGCTTATGTTCATAAGTACAAAACTATAGTTTATTTTTTTTTGAGAATTTTTATGAGTCCATTTGATCCAAAATTGATGACATATGCTGGGGAGCAAGATCTCAAATGCTCCTTTATGTTTTACTTTTATTGGAGATCTTAAATATTCAAAAATTGAAAGTTCTTAAATATATATATACATATATATATATAATTTTATTAAATTATTAAAAACTTTCCTTGAATGTTTTGTATAATGGGAATTTAAATATGATGCATGCAAATTTTACTTAATATCATATCAATATATTTTCATAAATATATTTAATGAACATGTTCAATATTTTTCTGCATATTAATTTAGATCAACTTATCGAACATCATATTATTGAAATCATTAATGTGTACTTCTAAAGTTTTACATAAATTTGGAACTAGAAATTGCCTCAAACCAGTGTTTCCTAGATTTGACCTATGAATTACCTGCTTTAGATCATGAGGGTTGTTAAAAATGCAAATATTTGTACATTTACTGAGTATTTGAGGCTCTGACTCAGTCGCCAGCATTTTTATCTATCTTCCACCCAGTTAATTCTGCTGTACTCACTCCAGTTTAAGAACCAGCTTCTCAGAGATTATTTAATTAATCTTACATATGAATTTTATTGATAAGGAAACTGAGGCTCCCTTACACTTTTTTCCTTTATTTGAAATGTGTTTACAGGTATTTCTAGCATACTTAGTAAGGGTTTGCAAAACAGTGCATTTTAAAACTAAAGATTGGTAAGCAGCTTAATATCCAAAGATAAGTTTAAATATACACATATTTTTTCTTCATTTCTTTATATTCTTCTATGTCTGATAGAATTACATTATTTGACTTATTGTATGCCGTGGTCGGCAAACTGTGGCTCGCGAGCCACATGCGGCTCTTTGGCCCCTTGAGTGTGGCTCTTCCTAAGCCTTAGGAGTACCCTAATTAAGTTAATAACAATATACCTAACTATATAGTTTAAGTTTAACAAATTTGGCTCTCAAAAGAAATTTCCATCGTTGTACTGTTGATATTTGGCTCTGTTGACTAATGTGTTTGCCGACCACTGGTATAGTGAATCTCCAATCCATTATTTTTCTCCAAAAATATTTTATTAGAAAACTGGTATGAATTACACTGAAAATGCTAATATTAGAGAACATATAAATAAAATTATTAACAAACTTAGTTTTAATAAAAATATTAATACATTATTTGTATAAAAGGTGGTCAAAATTTGGAGGAAGTTCCTCTCTTTTGCCATCTTGAAACTAGTGTTAGTAATACTTGAATGATAAAATACTCAATTCCTTCTAAAGGTTTACCTGGCTTAGTGGAAAGAACATGAGAATCATTGAGACCTTGATTTGAATGTGCTTGTAGCCAGTTATTACCTATGCAACTTCAGAAAAATCATTTAACGTTTACTTGTAATTTCTTCATATATAAAATAAGCATAATATACCTATGAGAAATGTTACAAATATCAAATAAGATGAGATATAAAATGACTTTTACATAATAGGTGTTCAACACCGATTATGATTCTTTCTTTCCCTACCCCTTCTACTTGTGTTTCATGGGTGAACTAATCTTGGTTGTGCTGGACTTTAGTAAAGCTGCCACAGTTCTGAATCTAAAATCATCTTTCCACTCACCCAGCATTATCTCATCCCCACCTCTGTAAGTTGATATGTGAAGTGGGACACAGTGGGATAAAAGGCATCATGTGCACTAAAAACTTAATTGGAGAAAGCCTCCTGTGAGCTTTCCTTCCTTCTACTTGTAGTGATAGCTGAATTTCCTTGGTTTGGGTCTTTTGGCCTCGAGGATATCTTTGTGTTTGGGCTTCTACAGGTTGAAATTTTGTTTGGATTAGTTGTATTTAAAATGAGCTATTAGCAATGTAAGTCCAGTTTGAGACTTATGTTTATGAATTTGTTTGATTTTATAGGCTCCAGAACCAAGGAAGGAGTGGTCCACGGTGTGACAACAGGTAAGCTCCATGGGCTGTATCCCCGGATGATGTGGAAAATGCCTTGCAAGCTGTGTAGCCCCGGCACTAATCATTCAGAATGTCAACAACCACTGTGCCTGCGGAGGAGCAGTCTAAGGAAACATCAGCTCTGTTTGATCTTAGTTCTTTATTAAATATTTTAGATAGGTAAATATTTATTATAAATAAATAAAACAATATATTTAACTGTCAAGAATGGTGAATCTGAATTGACCAACTATGTTTAATTTACAAAGTAGTATAGAATATGAATATTTTGACTTAGTTAGGCCAGGAGTTTTCTACCTACAATATCCAAGGAAAAGAAATTCTCCCAGCCCTAACTGGTTTGGCTGAGTGGAAAGAGCATCAGCCTGTGGACTGAAAGGTCCCAGGTTCGATTCCGGTCAAGGGCATGTACCTTGGTTGTGGGCACATCCCCAGTAGGAGGTGTGCATCGATGTCTCTCTCTCATCGATGTTTCTAACTATCTCTCGCCCTTCCTCTCTGTAAAAAAATCAAAAAAATATAATTTTTTTTAAAAAGAATTTCTCCCAGTTAGCTAATCCCAAGATAAAAACCTAGAAAACTCAACCTTTAACCCTGTCTTTTTTATATCAGGACATTATTATTTCAGTTGTCAACTTCATGTATCACATTATAGGCAAATATGATAGTGTACTTAATCTGGTCTTATGGAATGATATCTTTGAAGGTGCTTTAAAGATCAAAACATAAATTATGATATAAGCTTACTCAGTTTTTCCCTCCTGAGTGTATGGTGTAAAAAACTTCCTATTGAGATTTTCTGAAAGCGTTGATTCTTATAAACTGAAATTTACTACATGATATCGAATACACTTAATTTTTAACATGTCCTAATTTAAACTTTCTTACTAAATTGCTTTATAATATAAATTTCTTTATTTTTCTCAAATTTTTAATTTGTATGCCAATTTAAAACTAGATCTTAATTTTATAATTTTGCTTAATGTCAAAGGTTAGATTTACTATATCTATTCTAAAAGTTAGTGCCACATTTCCTTCCTGGAATTTTATTAAGTTAGTTAAAGTCAAATATAAATCTAATTAATTACAGATATACAGATAATTCTTTATAATGGATTCAAAATTATTTGTTGAGTAACTATTGTGAAATAATATAAAGAAAAATACAACAGTATCTCTGATTTTAATGAACTCAAAATACACTAGTGGAGGTAGATAGACATACTGGGAAACAAATCAAAGAGATATATTTATTATTCAGATATAATAAATATATCTGAAGTATTGAATTTGCTGAGTAGGCAGGGCTACTTGGTTTAGGGATGAAGGCTCCCAGTCAGATGAAGCTGTATGAACTAAAATGGGAAAGACTGGTACATTTGGAGGAAAACATAAGCAACTTAAAATATGAGACTATAATTGGTTGGGAGGAAGGTATCCTTTTTGATCCTGGTTATAATATCTTTTCCCTTAATACAAAACATTTATTAGTCCTAGCTTGTTTGGCTCAGTGGATAGTGTCAGCCTGCAGACTGAAGGGTCCCAGGTTTGATCCCGGTCAAGGGCACATGCCTGGGTTGTGGGCTCAGTCCCCAGTAGGAGGTGTGCAGGGGGCAGTTGATTGATGATGTTCCTCTCTCATCAATGTTTCTATCTCTCTCTAAAAATCAATAAAAATATATTTTTTAAAAAATTATTAGATGTAAAATGTACTTATTTGAATGTTTCTTTTGTCTTTTTATCCTTTGTTTGAAAGACCTTACTAGGGGAAAAATAAATGTCAAGGTTAATGGATAAATCCACTAGATAAATCAAGTCCTACAGAAATCTTTTTAAATGTATCTATTATTGTTACATGTATACTCTGTCATTTTATAATATAACTAATTTACTTATTCTGACAATGATAAAACCTAATGAAAATGTAATAAAGCACAAAATGCATTTTACTATGCAGTTTATATGTATTAAAATAGGTTAAGGTTTATACATCTATACTAATAAAAGGGTAATATACTAATTAGACCGGACATCTTCCGGACAAGGCCACGGTGGCTGGGGCTGAGGCAGAGGCAATTAGGGGCGACCAGGCTAGCAGGGGAGAGCAGTTAGGGGGGTCAGGCAGGCATGCAGAATGGTTAGGGCAGGAAGTTAGGTGAGCAGTTAGGAGCCAGAGGTCCCAGATTGCGAGAGGGATGTCCAACTGCCGTTTTAGGCCCAATACCTAAACCAGCAGTTGGACATCCCCCGAGGGGTCCTGGATTGGAGAGGATGCAGGCCTGGCTGAGGGACACACACCCCCATGCACGAATTTTGTGCACCAGGCCTCTAGTATATAAATAATTACCTAAGTGTTGTAAAAATAAAATTTCGTGACTGGCAAAAAAAAAAAAATTATGAATCTGTAAAAAGATCACAATTTACTTTTGTCTTTGCTCTTCCCTGAACAAAGCAAGCATACCCTTGCCCTGGGCTTTCCCTCTGTCTGAAAAGCTCTTACCCAAGATCATATACTTGGCAAGCCCCCTCATCTCCTCCAGTCTGTTAAATGACACCTTCTCAATGGGGTCACCTGGACCTGTTTAAAATTGGCACCATTCCCTTCACCTCTGGTAGGCCTACTCGCCCAACCCCCCGCCCCGCCCACTCTTAATTATTTTTTCGCCAAAGCACTATCACCTCAAACTAGTAGATAAGTTATAACATGAAAATGTTCATTATCAAGCAAAATTTTCTATTCAGGTTCTTGGGGTGGTGTGTGTGTGGGCGGGGGTGGGGGGGTGGGGTGGTGGTTGTGGTGATGATAACCCAAAGCACATAATTCACTATTTTTAAAAGATCAACATTCTAGAAATGTTTAAAAACATGAAATTTGCAGTACAGATTTCACTGCCATTTAAATTTGAACTTTGCATTGCGAACAGCCATTACTCCTTAGGAGGCATCACTCATGTCCCAGAAGTGGCAAAAGGCAAATATCAAGCAACACCTGCTGTGCGCTCTTCCTGGGCTTAGACTCCAGGGTCACTTTTCTCAGATAGTGTCTTAGAGAATTTTTGATATTAGATTAAATTGCTGCATCTAAATATAATCTTAAACTATTGATAGTTTTCTAAATATTTTACTTATTTTTAAAAATCTACTGAAGGACCATATTCTATTTTGCTTTGTGAAAAGGAATTTTCAGTGTGTTCAGCAAACTTCTTCATTTTCATATTTTACTTAATGTCTGACTCTCTTGTTCCCATTAAAATATTGAAAATTAATCATATTAAAAACCTTTCTGTTTCACCTACCTGAAGTTTTATGAAAGGGCCAAAGGTTCCTCATAACCATCCCTTACTCTCCTGTTTATTTCTGATAGTAACATGTGTGAGCATGAATGTGTTATGTGACTCAGAAGGTATGGCGAAAATTAACCTCTTGAGTGAGATAAAAGAATTGGCACTGAGCCCTGGCTGGCATCATTCAGTGGTTAGAGAATTGCCCCACACACCAAAGGGTCATGGGTTCGATTCCCTGTCAAGGGCACATAACTGGGTTGTAGGTTTGATCGGGCACATGCAGAAGGCAACCAATCGATGTGTCTCTCTTGCATTGATGTTTCTCTCTCTCTCCATCCCCTTCTTCCTCCCTCTCTTCTATTCTTTCTAAAGATCAATGGAAAAATATCCTCAGGTGAGGATTAACCAAAAAAATGGCACTGAAATTGGAATAAAGAAATAAATTTCATGCTGAGTCTGATACAGCTGTAACTGCACCTGTAACCATAGCTTTCTGCAAACTTTCTTTAAGAAAATATAAACCCAACTCAGATTGCTCATGGCTTTAAATTTGCAGTCATAAACTTCAAGCACTTTTTAGTGATTAAAACAAAGTATCTTAGCCAAAATTCAATATTCGGTCCTATGCTCACTTTGAAATCTTTACAGCTTTCATTTTTTTCGACTCTTCAGCTGTCTGTGGTATGTGTACATAGAGGTCCTGAGAACTGGATAGCTAGCGGAAATAAAATTACTTTAAGTTGCTGTTGTTCTATCCATCTCTTAATCTGTTGTTGCTCTTGATGCACCCCAGTGGCTGAGAAGACCAAAGAGCAAGTGACGAATGTTGGAGAGGCGGTGGTGACAGGGGTGACCGCAGTCGCACAGAGGACAGTGGAGGGAGCAGGGAACATCGCGGCCGCTACTGGCTTTGGCAGAAAGGACCAGGTGGGCAAGGTATGGATGGTTACACACGTTTCATGTTACACTTGTAAGCTTATGAGGCCATGGTGCTTTTCCATGCAAGGCTCTAGAAAGGAATAAGATGCTTACTGGGGGAGGGATAACTGGCCCTCTCCATTCAAAAGTACAGCCTTTATATGGGTCCTCTTTTTTGAGGTATTAACCCAGATAAATGCCAGGAAGACTGCATAATGATCATGATTGTTTCATTTTGTGGAAGAAAGTTCATGAAATGAACAATGTAATAAATGTCAAAGGAAGAGTGACATTTCAGAAAGAATGGGTGCTTTCATGTTGGCTATGAATCTTGGAATTTCTCTTTGTCGGAATAGAACAAATCACTTTGTGCCCAATTTCTTAATTTTCAAAATGAAGATCTGTTACTTGATTTCTTTCTAATGACATCGCCTCCGTTTAAATGACATGTTGAAATATCATGTAACAGTTTATTGCCAAAAATATGTTTGTGGGAACTGAGCGACTTAAAGTGCATAACAACCAGACATCATAGTTCTGGGGTGATTTAAAAATTCTCAGAAGAATTTTGACCTTGCATCTTTGATGCAACTGTGACTCTAGCATGATTATATAAAAGATATTATGACTTTCGTTTTAACCAGGTAAGTAATAGAAAACGAGGTGTCAACTGGAAGATGAAATTTTATAAATTTCATGACCACAGCAGCAGAATGATTTTTGCTTTTCCCTTTGCTCTTCCTTGAACAAAGCAAGCATACCATACCCTTGCCCTGGGCTCTCCTTCTGGCTGAAGAGCTCTTCCCCTAGGCCAGTGGTCGGCAAACTGCAGCTCTCAGCCACGTGAGGCTCTTTGGCCCCTTGAGTGTGGCTCTTCCTAAGCCTTAGGAGTACCCTAATTAAGTTAATGACAATGTCCCTACCTATATAGTTTAAGTTTAAAAAATTTGGCTCTCAAAAGAAATTTCCATTGTTGTACTGTTGATATCTGACTCTGTTGACTAATGAGTTTGCCGACCACTGTGAGGCCTAGAGCTTTTTACTTGGTGAACTCCCGCATCTACTCAAGTCTTTGTTAAATGACACCTTCTCAATGGGGCCTGCCTGGACCTGTTTAAAATTGGCAACATTCTCCGCACCTCTGGTAGTCCTAATTCCCCTACTCTTTATTATTCCTTTCTTTTTTTGCCAAAGCATTATCACCTCTAACATAGTAAATAAGTTGTTATTTTTTATGTATGTTATTTATTTCTCACCTTCTAAAATACAAGCACCATCAGGGTAGAATATATGTTGTTCGCTGATATTTCACACATGTCCAGAAAGCACCTCTATTTTCTGGCAAACTGCCCTGAGTTCCTCTACTCCCTGTGATCCTATGTGCCAGCTTACCTTGATGGATCATGAAAACATTGATTAAAAAGAACAGGACTAAACACTATGATATATTTAGATTTTTTTGCATGGAGTTCCATTGTCTGGGGCAATTGATGCTAATTACGGAAAATCTGGACTGGGCTTTCACTGACGTTCTTCAGCTAACACTTGAATGTATGGTTGCTGATGGGACTTCTTTGTGCAGAATATGGCTTTCAAATAATCTTATCCCTTGAGCTAACAGCTACAATAATCCCTATTTTGTGTCTAGAATCATAATTACATTTATTCCTTTATTACATTTCAAAACAAGGGAGACTTCAGATATCAGTACAGAGATAATTAACCTGTTTTGTGTCCCAGACACTTTTACCAATCTAATAGAAGCTATGGGCCCCCGTCCTTCCAAAAATGTACACTCACATACACACACAAAAAGGCTTAGTGGAATCATGGAAGCCCTACTGACAGAGCCATGATTTAGACCATCCTCTAATTACACAAGTGGGGAAAGTGAAATTTACAGGGGAAGTTAGTCCAACATCACATAGCCAACTATAACAGACTGGATACCAGTAGTGCGTTTCCATCCATCACATCCCTTCCTCATAACCTAGCATCCTTTGGGTTTTTATAAACTGATTTATGACAAGCAGATTTAACTGGAGAAATTCTCAGCTTTAGAATATTAAGAAACCATGGAAACATGTACCCCCACCCCATTTAAAGCATACAATATAAATTGCAAATAAGGCATGAAAGTGCTTTATTTCTTACAAAATAGGACTTGTGTTTTACTCTTCCAAAATATTTTATTTACTTTAATATTTTAAAGCAGAAATTTTAAATGATGTGACAAAATTAACCATTTGGAGATATTCTCTTATGGGTACTTACAGGTTCTCACAAATTTCTAATATGAAATAAAGTCATAAAACCTAGAAGTTGCAGCATAGTTGTAGGGAAAACAACATTGAACTGGGAGTTGAAATGGCTGGTTTTCATCCCTGCTCTGTCGCTAACTGGCTGGATGACCGTTTGCAGATCTCCTAAGACTCTTTCTCACCTAATAAGGAAACTATAATAGAAAATTGGGTTAAAGCCCCATTTAGCAATAAAATTTTGTATTTCTATAACTTAAGGAAGACACCAATAAACTTCTTTCATTGTGGTCACTTCCACTTCTATGAGATGCCAAAAGTTCTGGGGAGTTTAAATAAAATGGTTGAATTTTCTCAGTATAAAATTTGAAATACTTTAATTTTATCATTCAAATTCTTATCAAAGTGATTCTGGTGAATGGAAATAAGCAATTTATTGTTGTTTAACCATTTGTTATTGACTCATTGAGAACTTATTCTCATTAAAACAAAACAAAACAAAAAAAAAACAACAACAACAATGCTATTCCCAGAAACTTTGTTAGATGTTGAGGCTAAAATAATGAGAAATATTCTAACAAACAAACAAACAAACAACCAAGAATGGAAATCAATAAACAATCAGGAGTTGAAGGAGTAGCATTTCAGGCAAAAGCAAAAACATGAGGGAATCTCATGTGGTGGGGGGGGTTCAGTGGCCAATCAAAGAGGGCTGTGTGAAACTGGTTTGGCTCAGTGGATAGAGCGTCAGCCTGCGGACTGAAAGGTCCCAGGTCGATTCCGGGCAATGGCATGTACCTGGGTTGCGGGCATATCCCCAGTAGGAGATGTGCAGGAGGCGGCTGATCGATGTTTCTCTCTCATCGATGTTTCTAACTCTCTATCTCTCTCCCTTCCTCTCTGTAAAAAAATCAATAAAATATATTTAAAAAACAAAACAAAACAAAGAGGGCTGTGGCTGGAGCCCTAAGAAGCTGGAGGAAGAGGCTAGAGCAGTCGTGGGCAACTACGGCCCGTGGGCCGGATCTGGCCCGTTTGAAATGAATAAAACTAAAAAAAAAAAAAAGACCGTACCCTTTTATGTAATGATGTTTACTTTGAATTTATATTAGTTCACACAAACACTCCATCCATGCTTTTGTTCCGGCCCTCCGGTCCAGTTTAAGAACCCATTGTGGCCCTCAAGTCAAAAAGTTTGCCCACCCCTGCTATAGAGTATGCTGGGGCCACATCATGGCTGGCCATATTAAGAATGCTGGTCTTTATTCTAAGAATCAAGGAGCCTATCAAAGCTTTTTAAGCAAGGACGCCAGGTTACAGGTTTGCATGTTGAAAAGATATCTCCGCCTTAATGTGAGGAATCAGCTTAAAGGGGTCCGAGTGGTAGCCCAGTACCAATTGGTGGGTTGTGGTGGGAAGAGGAGATGACTGCATATACCAATCAAATACAGTGCTGGTGGGGGAAGAGAAAAAACATGGATCAATTCGAAGACTATGTAGAAGATAATAGCAACAAGATTTGGTGGTGTATTTCATGAGATTTGGAGTAACAGGGATGTAACAAGTAGGGCTACTAGATGTTAGGTTGTAGAGTGGAATCATGTTGGTACTGTTCTCTTGGTGGTTGGTGCCTTTCTTGAAAATCAGGAACACAGCAAAAGGAGTAGCTGTGTTAGTGTTCAGCTTTCATACATTTTAAGGATATTTGGCCCATTACTCCCTGACTGAGGAAACAAAGCCAGCTTCCTTCCTTCCTTCCTTCCTTCCTTCCTTCCTTCCTTCCTTCCTTCCTTCCTTCCTTCCTTCCTTCCTTCCATTTTTTGCTTTCCTGGTTTGTTTGTGTTTAAAACAAGAGCTCTAGTAATTTTATCTCTCTCTCTCTCTCTCTCTCTCTCTCTCTCTCTCTCTCTCTCTCTCTCTCTCTTTGTAACATGCTAGATTTGGTGTATTCTGTCTCCTTTTGATGTTAACAGGGAGATATGACAACAGATACCTAAGTGTTTTTGTGAATTTGATTATAATATAAATGAAGCCACTCTTAGTAATCATTTCTAATGATCAGATATCAGATTAAAGGACAAATAAGATGTCTCGAATTTTAAGAATTTGCCTTATCAAATATTATTAGCTTCTTTGATTAATACCTCTGAATAATACATCTTCTGATCTGTATTTTTACCTGAGCACACAAGTGGTTATCAGCCATACAATTCATTTTTTGAAGCTCAGTCATTTGATTGGCATGATAGAACAGACCACGAATGCATTGGCAGAATATTCAAGTTAAGTTCAAACAAACAGTGATGTTATACAGAGAAAATTTGTTGCCCACGTCTATCGAGAACAAGTGATCTGCTAGTTCCAATGATATTATGTATAGAAAGTAGCTTGCATTAAGACTTGTTCTGTAGTGCCACTGTTTAAAGTATACAGCTCGTCACTAGAACATTTGCTCCATCTCAACCTCAAAAGTGCTTTGCATGTCCTTCTGCTCAAATCCTTGCTGAACAAATGAGTTTCTTTCATGCTATCTGGAATGCCCTGGAAGAGTTGGGTCCTCAGTATCCCTGAAGTTTATAGTTTTGTAATTATCTGGGTTCACAGAGAGTAAAAGTCTTGAATAAACTAAAAGCCACTACCTGACAAATAGTACAGCAGTCAGTTTCATTATCACATTCCAGTTAGGCACTAACCAATCTACAAAGATTCTTTTTGTGCAAGAAAAAAGTTTGAAAATATTTATAGCCTCAGATATTCCAG